AAGCAGAGAGAAGGCAGACTATGCAGGCATCTGAGAGTTTATTTTGATGTTAAGTCCCCTAGAGGCCTATTCAAAGCCAACTAGTGGACTTTCTCTCTCACACACACACATGCACACAAAAGTCAAAAATTTTTTCTCTCTAAATGTAACAAATGACGTAGCTAAAGCAGAAATTTAAGAAATTGAAATCTAAGTGTCTTTAAGACTGTACTTCCCCTCAGGATTTGGGGAGAGAGCCCTTGCTGGCCTCTTCCTGTTTCGGTGGCTCCAGATAATCTTCAGCTTGTGGTAGTGTCTCTTTCTTAGGGGTCACTTACTTATTTTTTCTCATAGCTAAGGTATGTTCCATCAGGGCAAAGGACTTGCCCCTGACTGAGCCAACAAGGATGAGAGGTAGGAACAGGGAAGTTCTGGTTATGTTTGTCATAACATGACAGTCAAGACACAGAGCAGCCAGGCCAGAAATGAGGCCTATAACCATCAAACTCCAGTATCTCAGCCGGAACAGGGGTACCCTGTCCTCAAAATTCTACTACCTCCCGAAACAGTACTACCAAAGAGCTACCATATTCAAATATGAGCTGTGAAGGACTTCACATCCAGCCCTTCAGTCACCCCTGCAGTCTCCTCTTTCAAGGCAGTCCTTGTTTGATTTATAAGAAAACTTTTTTTTCATTTAATTTAGGGCCAGTCTGGCAAATCTAAAATAAATAAGTCTCTTGTCTCAAGATTTTAATACAATCATGCATTTTGTATATGATATGACATCCACACTTTCTAGAACTTAGGATGTAGACATGTTATGGGGCCACCATCAACCCAGTCTAATCTCTAGCCCCAACAAAACTCTTTTTTTTTTTTTAAACATATCCAAAGTAAGTGCAGCATCAACTCGTGAGACCAAAATCTCACCTGGATGTCAGTTTAAAAGTCTACCACCTCATCATCTTGATCATGTGTGGGCAACATTTCCCCATGTCCAGTGGGGGACATGAATTCAGCCGTTAAAGCACCAGCTACTCTTCCAAAGGACCTGTGTTTGACTCAGCACCCACATGGGAGCTCACAACCATCCATAACTCCAGTTGCAGAGGATGAGATGTCCTCTTCTGGCCTCTGCCGGTACCAGGCAAGCATATGATGTAGATGTACATACAGGCAAAACACCCACACACAAAAGATCAATCCAAGTAACTTTTTTAAAAAAGATTTCCCATCTCTGGACCTAGAACATGGGGAAGGCATGGACTGACGGCAGGAACAGGACGCTGGGAGATCACATTTCTCCTTCATACACAGGAAAACAGAGTAGGAGGGGGAGGTCAGGAAGTGGGACAAGACTATGAACCTTCAAACCTGCACCTTCTTTTTTTTGTTTTTGTTTTTGTTGTTTTTTTCGAGACAGGGTTTCTCTGTATAGCCCTGGCTGTCCTGGAACTCACTCTGTAGACCAGGCTGTCCTCGAACTCAGAAATTTGCCTGGCTCTGCCTCCCAAGTGCTGGGATTAAAGGTGTGCGCCACCAAAATGAAGTTTGACCAACTTCAAAATTTCCCATGGTCTTTAAACTTTAAAATTCCAGTCTCTATGGGACTCAAATCAATCCCTTAAACTGTGACCCCCTGGGAAATAAAAGAGCAAGTTACACACTCACAGCACATAACGGTGCTGAATATGCACTCCCATTACAAAAGGGAAGAATAGGGGAGCAATGTGGAAAGATTGGACCAAGACAGGACTGACACCAGTAGGGCAAACACTAAATGCTTGTTGGCTCTGTCTGCTATCTGAGGCATGAGTCTCTAAGGCTTAGACAGCTTGGCCCCTCCAGCTTTCCCTCCTGGAATAGACATTACTCATTTGGGTTGGTTCCTATCCATGTACGCATTGTTCTTCTTTGCAAGCATCTCATGGCTCTGGAATCTTAATATCTTGGAGTCTCCAAAACAACCCAGAGTTCTCCTTTTCCATTTTATGCAATGGCCCTGCAAAGACTCTGGCCATGCTACACATTGCCTGGCCTCAGTGGCTCTCTGAAACTACAGAGAAACAATCTGTGATACCCTCCATCTTGCATCTTTTTTTTTTCTTCCCAAAACTACTACCACATGCACAGTACCTCCATATTTGGATGTTAGTTTAGGGTGGATGCTCACCCCCCTTGGACCACAATAGTAGCAGTTTTTAGTTTTGGTTTTGGTTTGTTTTTTATGTCCCTGCCTCCCAAGAGCTGGGAGAAAGTCATATACCACCATGCCTGGCCTGATTTTTGTTTCTTAATCACAGACATGCAGTGAAAACAATAAGAGCCTGTTCACCACGATTTCCACTCAAAACGAAATTAGGCTTTTATCTCTGATCTCATACAGAAAAGACTTCAAGATGGAGGAAAGGAAGACCTTAATTTAAAACTTGAAATATGCCAGGCAGTGGTAGTGCACACCTTTAATCCCAGCACTTGGGAGGCAGAGGCAGGAGGATTTCTGAGTTCGAGGCCAGCCTGGTCTTGAACAAACAAACAAAAACAAACAAAGAAACCTTGAAACACTGGGAACTTTTGGATGAGAATATAAGAAATATTCTCTATGACAAGAGGTGAACAGGAACTCTCTGAACAGAGTTTTAAAGCATAGAAACTAGTCTTAGGCATCAACAGATGGGGCTACATAAAATTCAAATATTTTGACACAGCAAAAGAAACTATCAACAAAGCCAGCAGCCTAGGGAAGGGAGAAAATCCTTAACAGCTATACTTCAGACAAGGGGCTAATATACAGGATTTACAGAGAAGTGCAGAAATTAACTACCAAGGAGATCAAGCTGCCAATGGAAGAAATTGTCTAATGAACTGAAGAAGCAGGTTTTTAAAAAAATACAAAGCCAATAGATATTTCAAAAAAGTGTCCAATATCCCTTAGTCATCAGGGACATGCACATTAAAACTACTTTGATATACCACCTCACCCCGGTGAGAGCAGCAATCCTCAAGGAATCTTATAACAAATGTTGGAAAGGATGTGGGAAAAGAATCCTTATTCACCGCTAATGGAGGTACAAACTAATGAACAACCATTATGAAAATCAGTTCAGAGGTTCTTCAAAAAAATTAAAATAATACTACTGAATGACTCAGTATTCACTTCTGGGCATATACCCAAAGATTTCCACACCCTACCTACAGATACTTGAACACCTTTTTTTTTTTTTCTGCTTCACTGACTATAGCAAGGAAATGAAACAAACCTAGATGTTTATCAACAGATAAATAGATAATTGACATCTGGTATATATACTTATAGGGATGGATAGATAGATAGATAGATAGATAGATGAAAATTATTCATCTCTAAAGAAAAAAGAAGTCACAGCCTTTTCAAAAAAAAGGATGAACTTAAAATATATAATATTATGTAAGGATACACAATATCAAAAAGAAAAAAGCTACAAGTTCTACTTGATGTGTATTCTAGTCCATAGAGCATTGGTGTATACAAACATACCTGTGGGTATAGGGTAACATTTAGAAAGGAGAACAAGAAAGAGTGATACAAAGTATTGAGGATGTAATGCAGGAAAAGGACAGGAAGTCCAGGGAGAACATAGAACACCAATTGCTTTTCTAGCTTTACCAACCACAGTCCACACTGCAGTGCTCAGATCTCGGTCCTAGTGAACTTGTTCCCACTGATTCAGAACATTTAGTGGCAGCTTTAGGGATGGGCCTTGCTGCTTCTACAGGGATCACTTGCAAGCCCTCTTCCTCTTCATTATGTCTTTGTGCACTGGGACCTTATGAGAGATGTTTTCCAACTGTTCTGTCTAACTGTTCTCTCCCCTCCCAAGGGCTGCCCTATTTCCTCAGTTCGTTTTGTTTATCCGTGCAGTGTTGTGGTAGAGTCGAGGCCTCATTCCTGCTAAGCATGTCCGCTCACAGTGAATCCCTCATTCTGGACTTCCTTGTAAGCCACTTTATCACCGCCTGCCATGGACATGTGCACAGGACTTGACTTATCACTACTGTACATCCAGTACGGAAAGCAGTGCCCTGTCCTTGCTAATAAAAGTAACTCATTCACCTAAAACAATAACAATGTATTGCTCGACCTGGTGTTGAACACTTTCCCCCAGCACCCAGGAGGCTGAGGCAGGACGATTTCTGTGAGTTTGAGGCCAGCCTGCTCTTCATAGTTCTAGGACAATCTGGGCTACATAGATACCCCATCTCAGAACAAAACAAAAACAATAATAGAAATTTTAAAAGACTGCAGTAGAAAAGTAAAAGTGTATGTCCCCAAATATTAATCATACCTAAGCTGGATGACATTGACTTTAACTTTCCTTCCTCCTTCTATACTCTTCAGATTAACCCACACTACTGTGTGTCATAATAACAATTTAACTTTATGCCCAAATGAACTGCTGTGTTTGCAGTTAATATGGACCCACAAGGTACACTTATAAATGGCACAAGTGCTATATTTAAATTCAAGCAAATTTCAAAAATCAAGCAAGTAAGGGTCTCACATACAGAGTATGAGGGTTCCATTGCCATTTAGTTAAGCCAGACACTTCTTGTGGTCTTTTCCTAGCGTTAGCTTTTCCCACAAGAGGCACGGATACCTAAACAAACAAACAAACAAACAAACAAACAAAGCCAGAATTCTTTAGCCGTTGGTTGGCATATGTCATTCCATGTTTTACACGGTGTCCAAAAACACAGAGCAGCTCTTGGATTCTGACACCAGAACTGACGCCATCACATTCAATGCAGGCCATGAGTTCCACGGCTATCTTCCACAGCAGCCAACGTCCACCTCCTTCTGCAGCTCAGGCTCTAAATCAGATTGTTCTCAGACTAGGAGAGCAGAGACATCTCTCAGACTAACCCACCAGACTGTGACCCTGATCTCCTCGCTCCCTCCGCTCAGGCATTCCCCACTACCGCTCCGGCACCCGCTAGCCCCGCCCCGTAGCCTGGCGCGTGACGTCACCGCGCTGCGCCCTGTCAGGCGCCGCCATTGTTCCACCGGTAGGACCCAGGTGTGGGTCCCCGGCGCCATGAGCAAACGCAAGGCGCCGCAGGAGAGCCTCAACGGCGGCATCACGGACATGCTCGTGGGTGAGTCCCGGGCCGCCCTCGGGTCCCTCTCCTCGGCCGGGCCTCGCTTCTCCCACCCCCCTGGTCGCAGTCGCAGCGCCCGGCAGCGTCGGTCCCGGCCGGCGGAGGAGGATCCCGTCCACACCTCCCTCCCGGGACCCGCGTTCGCGGGTGTGTCCTTGTGTCCTCGAGCCCTTTGTTGTCTTTTTCAGAACTCGCAAACTTTGAGAAGAACGTGAACCAAGCGATCCACAAATACAATGCGTACAGGTACGTTGTTAGCTGGCGATCCAGGGCATCCTAGTTTGCTGTCACTTAGCAGGGGGGGGGGGGGGGGGGGGCGGGTGTCCAGTGGTTCTTTGGAGGATCGGAAAGAGCTTTAAAAAAGAAAAAAGAAAAAAAAGAGAAAAAGCCAAGTGGCACTTTATTTAACTTATACAGGATTTTGGCAGAGCTTTATAGGGTTAATTCAGGAGCGTTTACAGTTCTGACTGAAAATAGATGTCTAATGCATTTTATTCCCACCATTAATCTTGAATGACTAGAAATATCAGGGCGGCTTTAAAGCATAATAAACAACGGTAGATGAGGTCAGAACTGTGAAATAGATGTCGTTCAGGAAGTCACCTTTCCTTCTGGTTGGACTGTAACAGATCCTGTTACCTTCCTGAAAACCAATTGCCCATCACCGCAAACCTCAGCGGGCACCTTCTCCTGTCCGTTATTCCCAAAGTTAGCTACTTAACCTATAAACGTCTCAAAGCCCCTCAGCTTCTAAAAGTAAAAGCTAACTATCCTTGCTTTCCCCAAGCTAGCCCATACGTCCTTACAGTTAGTGTTCTTGAATAGCCTGTTCCATGCCTGGATTTTTCTCATCTGGAATCATCATTATTATTTGTTTTTAATATTTCTTTTATTTGGGGGATTATAATTACATCATTTCCCCTTTTCCTCCCTCCAAACACTTCCATATATAATCCCCTCTTTGATCTCTCAAATTCATAACCTCCTTTTTTTCACTAATTGTTGTTCCATATATATTTATATATGTATATACATACATTTTCATAAATACATAAATACAACCTGCACCAACTGTATAGTGTTACTTGCACGTTTTCGGGACTGACCGGTTGCTATTGGATAACCAACTGGTGTGTCTTCCCTGGCAAAGACTGTCTCTCTGCTCTCAGTATTCCTTAGTTCCCTGTGGTTCTTTGTGTAGAGTTGAGGTCCTGACCACTTTGGTGTGTCTGTTACATTTGTCCTTGTTCAGCTCGTGTTTAGGTAGTGATGTTAGTGAGACCTTATGAGTGTAGCTTCTGACATTACTGGGCAACACGGTCTCTCAGCGATTTCTCTGATCCTCTGACTCCCACAGTCTTCCCATTCACTCTTGTACAATGTTCCCTGGGCCTTAGGTTTAGGAGTTAGTTTGTAGACATATCCATTAGGACTCGGCTCCAGGACTCTGCATTTTGATTGGTTGTGGTTTTCTATAATGGTCTCTGTTGCAAAGAGCAGTTTTCTTGATGAGGGGTGAAGGCTACACTTGCCTGTGGGTATGTGAAGGCTGTATTTATCTGTGGGTATGTGAAGGCTGTATTTATCTGTGGGTATGTGAAGGCTACACATGTCTGTGAGTATAAGGATGAACATTTAGACTGTAGTTAGGGATTGTGCTGCTTTGGGAAAGTAGTGGTTGTAGGTTCTTCTCCAAGACCTATGACTTCACTAGCTCTAGGTAGTTGTCTAGGTTGTTGGTACCAGGTAAGATTGATTTCCCTCTTGATGAGTGAGTCTTAAGTCCAATTAGAGAGCTGTTGGTTACCACTGGGATACATGTGTCCCTACTGCACCCTTAGAGTTAGCATGCCATGCAGGTCATTGTGGGTCATAAGTGTCATAACTGTGTAGGCCTGTTGGTTGGTTCTCTCCTTTGGAAGCTCGCATGGTGCCTTCTGATACCATGAAAGCTAGTCCTCAGGGAAGGGACAGTTCAGGTCACATTCCAGCCCTGTGTCTGAAATGCATGGTTCTTCAGCAATAGGCACTTACCTTCTACTTCTTTGGTGGCTTCTAGGGTGCCACCAAAGGCAATAGCAGTAGCCTGTATGTTTGAGAACATACATGACATACTAGGACATCCCTGGCCAAAAACTCAAAACAGGACTTCTCTCATGCCTAGCTTTGGATGTTTGCTTGGGTGTTTTTGGCTTTTGGAGGGAGCATTATTAGCTCAGAGTTTAAACTATGTATGTATTATACACAGATTTACATTTATTGTCGTTGTTTTTTTTTTTAAAGGAAGACATCCATACTGTTATTTTACCAGCCTTCATCCTTCTGTATTCTCTCACCCCATTCTGTAATTATAGCCCCACCTTTTTCTCATTCCTCACTCCACTGTATCACTTGAACGGTGCTGTTCTCTCTCTATCGCTCCCGGAAGCTCCTGTCCTTTCCAAGGTCCCATGTTAGTAACTGGTTTTTACAGTTACTTTGAGGTACTCATATCTGGAGATTTGAAGCTAGGAGCCTCCAGTAGAAAGGAAATGTGATACTCATCTTTCCAGGTTTGGATTACCTGTTATGACCTTTTCTAGTTGCATTTACCTGCAAAGTTTGTGGATTAATTTTTATTTATTTATTTGAGGCAGGGTCTTTCTTTGTACCTATGGCTGTCCTGGAACTCACTACTTAGACCACAGTGGCCTTGAAGTCAGAGATCCTCCTGTGTCTGCCTCCCGACACAGTGCTGGGATTAAAGGCACATGTGAGTCATCACATTCAGCTGACTATTCCTTATGGCTGAATAGAATTCCACATTTTTGTTACCTGTTTGAAGACGGAAGGACATTTAGGTTGTTTCCATTTCATACCTGTTGTGACTAGAGCAGCGATGAACACGGCAGAGCATGTGTCTTTGGAATAGGATGTCAGTCCTTTGGGCGTATGCTGAAGAGTAATATAGCTGCGTCATAGGGTAGATTTCTGGACTAATTCCCTGACTGGTTGCACCCGTTTGCAATCTCACCAACAGTCAATGAGGTTCCCTGTCCACCACACCCTGTACAACAGTTTTCGTGACTGGAGTAAGGTGAGATCTCAAAGTTGCTGGATTTGGATTTCTCTACTTGCTCGGGATGGTTTATTTATCAGCCATTTTTAATCTTCTTTCAAGCTCTGTTCAGATCCCTGACCCATTTTTAAAATAACTCATTGGTTTGTTTGTGTTTTGATTCTCTAGTTTTTCAGTTCTGCATATTAATCCTCTGTCAGATCGTGTAGCTGGCAAAGAGTCTTTCTCATTTTGAGAGCTTCCTCCCCTATGTGGGGTTGTCTCTTTAGCTGTGCAGAAACGTTTAGTTTTATGAAGTCCCACTTGTTAATTGTTGGTCTTAATTCTTGTCAAATGGAGTCCTACTTAGAAAGTCCTCTCCTGCACCTGTCAGGCCCTTCTCTGGCCTGTGTATTCTTCTAGCAGTTTCAGTTTTGCAGGTTTTAGGTTTCCATGTCTGATCCTTTTGAGTTAGTTTTTGTTCAAGGTGATAGATACGGTCCTGTTTTCCCAGCACGGTTTGGTAAAGATGCTTTCTGAAAATAACTCCATGTGTTGGATGATGATTCAAAGCATATACCACCTTCTGGAAAACCAGAAGCAGCCTCCAGGCTGCTGCCACCTAACTGATACTGTAACTGTATTTTCAAACTGTATCAGGCCAGCTGCTTCAGGATGATAGGGAACATGGTAAGGCCAATGGAGCCCTTGAATGTGGGCCCACTGTTACATGTCCCTGGCTATGAAGCGTGTTGCTTCGTCAGAAACAATCCACAGATGGTAGCTTTGGCAGGAGCATCACATGCTGGAAAGGCAAATCCATAACCAGAATAAGTGTCTGCTCCAGTAAGGATAGAGTGTTGTCCTTTCCACAGAGGAAGCAGCCCATGAGTCAACTGCCGTGAGGTCTCTGGTGGGTCTAGCACTTAGGAGTAGCAGTAGCAAGGGCAGCCTTCGTGAGTCTCAGTGTCCATTATCCTCCTCACTGTCGTTCTCACCAGTTTCCAGTCTTGCTCTTTCCCTGAACATCCATCAGTCAGTTCTACACAGCAGAAAACCATCAATCCTTGTACAACTTCAATGTGGATATTTGGTAATATGTGTATTTTGGCTTAAGAGAAAATAAGCATTTGATGGATTTTCAATTGTTTCTTTTTCTTCCTTTTATTTTTTTAGAAAAGCGGCATCTGTGATAGCAAAATACCCACACAAAATCAAGAGTGGGGCAGAAGCTAAGAAACTGGTAAGCTCAATGAGCATGTGGTGAGCCCTGTCTTTTGGAGGGGGTGGGGAGGAAGGAAGAAAGGGGGTCAGATCATATTAGTGTGCGTACCTGCAGGTTTAAACAGGACTGACCAGGTTTAAACAGGACTGACCGGGTGGTTCAGTAGATCAAGGCTTGCTGCCAGGCCTGCTTGCTGAACTTGACTTTAGTCCTCGGAACCGCATGGTAAAAGGAGAGACTCTGGCGGTCTGCCCTCTGCCCTCCATATGCACACTGTGGCGTGTCTGCACACACTCTCACAAAGACATAATGAAGAGGGCCAGTAAACACGGAGCTTCATCTGTAAAGTTAGACTGAGACAAGACACTACGTAGTGCCTGTCAGGTTATCTATAATATGACATGTGGACAGAGCGTGTACTGCTGAAGGAGTGCTCAACAGCAGTCTTTCTGAAGGATCATTTGGCAGAAGTTGTATATACCATCCCTGCCTTTTTGAGACAAAATCTCATTATGTAGCCTTAGGTGGCCTGGAACTCAGAAAGGTCTCCTGCCTCTGCCTCAGTAGAGCTAGGATTGAAGGTGGCTGCGAGCAATCTTTTGACCCAGTATTTTCACTTCAAAGATCTTGTGCTAAGAAGACCAGGAGAGCTACTAAGCGTCTAGAATTCATTAGTTTATCACTCTGAGCAAAGTACATCCCTAAGTACTGGGAAAGGCAGTAAAGACACTGGGCCTTCATTCTTTCACGTTTTACATTTGAGAAGAATACTGTTGAGCATTGCAGCCGTGAGTGTCTTCTAGCTACTGAATTCTTGGAGTGCGATTGCTGTAGCTGTGGAAGGGAAGGTCTTAGTTACACATGGGTTAGGCCTTGTTGGCTGTGTCAGTCTGCTCATGGCCTCTGTGTAAGGTATCTAGTAGCATCAGTGCTGGGTGGGACTTAGAGGTGCGGATGCTGCCCTTTCTACTTTCCTCTGACATAGCAATCAGGAACTCCAAGGCGGAAGCTAGGATTGGGTGTTAATGGTGTCATTACTTTTATTTTTTAACTTTTTTATGTTTATTTGTGTATCTGTTGGTTTTTCGAGACAGGGTTTCTCTGTGTAGCCCTGGCTGTCCTAGAACTCTCTCTGTAGACCAGGCTGGCCTCAAATATAGAGATCAATCTACCTAGTCCTGGGATTAAAGGTGTGGACCACCACTGCTCGGCACTTTTAATTTTTTTAATTAAAAAGAAATTTTTGTTACATGTATGTGTGTGTGGCTGTGTAGTTTATGTTCACACAGAACCCCGTGGAGGCCAGAAGAGCACATGGGATTCCCTGGAACCAAAGTAACGCACAGTTGTGAGCCACTCTGTAGGTGCTAGGAATTAAGCCCAGTCTTCTGCTGGAGCAATAAATGGTCTTAAATGTTGAGCCATCTCATATACTTACTTTTTCTTAACACACTTGATTTCTTTTACCAATAAATACTGCAATATTTCTCATGGGTGCGTATTAGTTCACTGTAGGAATTTATTTAACATATCTTACTGGTGAACCTTAAATTAGTTTTCCAATATTTGACATAACTGTAAGGCTGCCATGAACTATTCCTGTTCTCATAGGCAGTCTCAGTTAAATAATACAAGCAAATGTTAGAGGTTGTGAATACAGGTGATGTTTGTGTTTAATTTTCAAGGCCATGACACTAATTTAATAAGTAATCTTAATACTGTGCATGCAACTTTATATTCACATTTTCCTTTTTGTGTTATAAATTGCTTGCATTTATTTATTTGGGATATGTACAAATACATGCATGCAGTGGTGCCCATGTGAAGGTCAGAGGACAACTTGCAGGAACCAGTTCTCTCCCTCCATGAACCCAGGGCATGAGGCTTGGCAACAAGTGCCCTAACTCACAGAGCCCTCTTGACACCCCAGTTTTCTCAGCTTCCCTTAATAAAAGTAGAGGGTGTGTGTGTGTGTGTGTGTGTGTGTGTGTGTGTGTGCCACTTTCTCACTGATGTATACATTTCCAGCCCTCAGAAGTTAATTTTACACAAACAAGAGTAATTTAAAGTTACTTACTAGTTTTTCTGTGTCAGTCCTTTAAGTGTTTTGTTCTGGGGAGTTTCTTCCGTGGGTTCAGTTTTTTGTACCTTTTTGCTTCAAAGCATGTCTAGTAATCACCTGTTTCTTACTCCTCAGTGTTTATCTCTTGGGATTTGGTAAGCATTGTATTTATATGTCTTCTTTATTTTTAATTTTCTGTATAGCCAGGAGTAGGAACAAAAATTGCTGAAAAGATTGATGAATTTTTAGCAACTGGAAAATTGCGTAAACTGGAAAAGGTAACATTTTAACTTGATTTCTTGTCTGTCCTTATGGCCTAGAGCACAGTGGTTGATGTAACTCATTTTAGTGAGACTCAGAAAGAAAAATGGTGATTGGACCTTGTTACTGCATGAGGAAGGTCTCCTGGGGCTGTCACAGGAGAAAAGCCTCTTCTCCCACTTCCTGTGTGTGACTTTAGGACATGGCTGGTCTGGGGCAGAGTTCCTCTCACTGTAGCATTCACATTGATTGCAAATCTTGATGAAAATAGTCATTATCATTCATGTGTCTGTGTCTAAACTCTCCTGAGCACTTTTTATGATTTTTGTTTGTTTTAATGATGCGATTTCTGTTTTTTTACGAAGAGACCTTTTAAAAGTATTGGAAAATTGAAAACTGAAAAGTGAGTGGGGATTAAATGTTGGTACTGAAAAACTAACTATATGAGGGGATGCGTTTATAATCAGCTAGATCTTGTTATTCTACAACATATATATAGAAAACAATTCCATGTATTAAATAAATTAGAGATGAGAAGTCTTTAGCTACTCAGTTACCACCACTGAGTTAGGCCCTTGTGTTCTCTGCAAATGCAAATACTTTTTTGCTTTATTTTTAGCATGTTGATATATTTCCAATAAGATAATTTCAGTTTACAAAGCATTCTTAAATGATTATTTGATTTTTTTTCTTTTTCGTAAAGATTCGTCAGGATGATACAAGTTCATCCATCAATTTTCTGACTCGAGTTACCGGCATCGGGTAAGAGCGATTTCCTAACAGACACGGCTGTAAATTAGTCTTTTTCATGTCAACCAAACTTGATTGCCTGCTGTTTCCTTCCCAAGCTTGCACGTCTCTCCCTCCTTCACGCCGCTGCCCATACAGTGTGTCTTACAACTCAGGGTCCGCAGCTGTGCCCTCAGTTCAGTTGCTGTTCTCTTTAAAGCCCCTGCCAAGGCACGTGGTGTTACTCCTTCCTGAAACAGCTTGAGTCCCCAGACAAGTGCTTCCTCCTCCTCCAACTTCCAGCACTTACCTTTACGTCTGTCTTTTTACTGCAGACTGTATGTGCTGCTCTGAAAGCGCAGACTGTACATGCTGCTCTGAAAGCGCAGACTGTACGTGCTGCTCTGAAAGCGCAGACTGTACGTGCTGCTCTGAAAGCGCAGACTGTACGTGCTGCTCTGAAAGCACGTGCTAAAGTACTTCCTTTACAGCACCTGGTGAACTTGAGTAAGAACGCAGCCATTTTTAAAGTTTGGGCTTGAAAATCTTTATCTTAATATTAATTGTGGGCTAGCCGCAGAGGGAGCTTCTTAAACACTGGGCACCTGAGAGGTTGGTGATAAGATGTTAGTTCTGTGGTGCTCTGTTCTCCCTTCATCTTTATGGGACAAAACATTCTTGTAGGAGGTACAATAATTGTCCTATTGAGTGACTTTATTAAAGTTTTAAACATAAGAAATTGGAAAGCAGCATGACTCCACAGAGATTCAAGGCTACTCTAAAGTGTCTCTTTGAAGGGAACTTAGAGAGCATCTGATACAGTACTCTTCTGAAGTCCTTTAGTTGGTGTATGACCAACTGAAGTCCTTTTTCAGGACTCTGACTCCCTGTTCAGTGTTGTTTCTTCTTTGACATATTGGGTCCTAACATCAGTGTCAGTTTCTTCACCACATATAGTGTGATGTTTACAGAGCCTCCCAAACTGTACTGTGCCTGTGTGTATGTTTGTGATTGTGTGTGTGTGTCCTCGTGCATTCCTTCTGTTCTCCGGTCTTACTGTGTAAGACTGAAAGTCGACCCAGTATAAGTGCTTCAGGAAATGTAGGTGCTGTACCTATTGCTCCTGCAGCTAAACTGCTCTCCACAACACAGCACTTTCTTGTTGAGCAGTAACCACAGTGATAATCTATACCCCTAAAGCAGGTTTTATGACTGACTTTTACTCATTTCTAGTAGCTATTCATTGTCCTTGAGGAAGACCCAAGCTTACCTCCTTAGGGAATGTTACAGCTCGTGACTCCTGTGTACTGCTCGGTGGTATTTTATATGACCCTATGTCATTGAGCATTACTAATTTTCTTCTTGAACAAGCCAAGCTCATACTTATCCATGGAATCATCATGAACTGTTTCTCTACCTGCAATGGTTTTCTTTTGGTCTCTCAAATAGCTGGCCTTCTTCATTCATATGTCAGTTTTAGCATCTCACAGGTCTCTACTTCCTGTGCAGTCTAAAGTGAGACATAGCTACTCTATGATATCACACTATATGCATCTACCTGACATTGATCTTGTTTATATTCGTATCTGTTGTCTTTCTCTACATACTAGCAGAGAAGTGTCTTGTCTATGTAGTATTCCCAGCAGTGTATGTGGCACATAATAGGCCCTCAGTTAATCTCAGTTGAATTAATGAGTGTTTGAGTGCCCACATGTCTGTGCATTAGTCTTATGACAGCCAGCTGCTTAGGTGTCTTTTGATGTTCAAGGTCCTGGTTGTCCACCAATTGACTGAAGATGCAAAAACTCTTTGGGTAAAATGAGCGTCAGCAAAGTAATCATGCAGCGTTCAGCAGTTCTTGTTTAGCTGAGTATTAACTCCGTACCTGACAATAGAAGACATACCAATTATCAGGAAGACTTTGGTCTTTCCCTGCTATTGAGACGGTGTTTTTTTAATTGTCGTTGTTGTTGTAGGCCAGCTGCTGCAAGGAAGTTTGTAGATGAAGGAATTAAGACATTAGAAGGTAAGTATGACATAAGTCACTAAGTCCAAGTTAAAATCTCCAGGAAGGCCATCTTGGAAACCCTGTTCTCAAGCCAATGTCAATAAATATGAACGCAGATAAAGGTGTTTTTGTAACTACATTGTAGAGAGCAGATCTGGAATACGGTCAACCGTCCTGCTTTAGGTATTTTTAGGTTTATGACAAAAAAAAAGTTAAGACAAGCAGGAAGTTCCTTTATGCTATCTGAACTAGAGAATGAGCTATAAAAGCCTCATTTTTATTTTGAGTCAGTGTATATATAGCAAGCCAAAGAAACAGAGTAAATAGCAGATAACAAACATCATCACACCCAGCACTCAGAACATCTAGCCCAAATCAAATGGGGGAGCCCCCTTAAGATGGCCGGGCAGGGTTTCTAGTAGACAGTCCTGAGGGAACAGTGTCCCCTCTGGTGAGTCTTCTGGGTGAAAGAACAAACACGGCAATGAGATACCATCATCAACTTAGATGCTCACAGTATCCTGCAGAACTGACTGGCAGACCTGAAGCCCTCGGCTGGAATTCCTGGGTGAGCTTTTTCTACCTGGATGAGCTTCTCATGGCTGCACTGCCGGCTTCTCTCTCCCACTGCAGCATTTTTATATAATGGGATAAGTAAGCATAGTCTCAGCCCCCGTTTACCTCCTCCTTGATAATCAGGGCAGTGGTGGTACACTTGGGCTTTGCACTTGTCACACAGTTAAGAGGACCTTGAAGGACACTTTGGAATACATATACTTGGGTCTGAAATGCGGGGAGGAGGGCAAGGGGGAACAGTCCTGCTTTGAAGGCTTCTCAGAAAGCTCAAAAGCACGGGTCAGACTTCTCAGCTTAAAGACCACAAAGTAGTGACTATTTTAAAAATTTGGGTCTAAATTGGTTTTGTTTCTTCATGTTTGAGACAGTAACATTTTAGAATAAACGCTAAACTGTATGTGTTGACAGAATGTTTCTGTCAGAGATTACAGCTGTTGGAGGAATGTTTGCTTTCAAAGAAATGGAGGGAAAATTAGAGCCTAAACCAAATAATTTTAGTACATTTCCTTTACCAGAAGCATCCTTTAAAGGTAACGTATCTCCTCACTTTTCAAGAGTCCATGTGCATTCATTGTCATATACTGTGGAATGTGTACTGTGCCCCACTGAGCATAGGATGAAATATTTGTGGGTTCAGCTACCTCTAAGCAACCAGATAGGCCAGGTGGACAGGCTTTGGAAACTGATCTAGTTTTGAATGCCACTTCCAAAACCTCATGGTAGTGGGTTTGTTGGTCCCTCCGGGCCACGTAGTGTGCATTTCTGACTTGCAGGATTTGATATACTAATATCTGTAGAGTACAGAGTAAGCAGTAGTGAGCACTTCAGCATGGCCCCTGGCACTTGTGTAGTACTTGTCAACTAGCCAGAAAATAAACTACCCGTATCTCAGGAGGACTGTGTATTGTTTTGCCTGTATCATATACGGTTTCTCCCAGTGAGATGATTGGCCAAAAGGGTCAAGAACTTGTGAGTTTGACAAAGTTATTCACCTGGTGATGCTAGAACTTCCTGTTCTGGTTTTTATATTTCATAATTCAGATATGTAATATAATGCTGACTGTATATAATTGTTTCCATTTCATTTAAGATATATTTGGTAGTATTTTCTCTGGAAGGTAGTATATGTGCATTTATCAAAAAAAATGCATATGTTTCTCCATTCCTTCAGAGGGAATTTATCTCTCAATATACTGGTTATTAAACAAATCACATTTGAAGCTTAATTGTTTTTCCTGTAGCAAAAGTTGCTACTGCATTCATGCCTAGAAAGACACATTGTTACATTTTTTTCCACATAAATGTTACATGAAAACACATAAATGTTCAAAGATGAGGATAATACCCTTCTCTCCATCAGCACAGTGCCTTCACAAATTCATACTCTACGCTAACAGGGAGTTAACACATGTCTAAGAAGAATGAGTCTAGGCCTGGAGTGATAATGATGCAGGCATAGGCAAGCTGATCTCTGAGTTCAAGGCCAGCCAGGACTATGTTGTGAGACCCTGTCTCAAAAAAAAAGTCAATTATAAAACCTTAAGAAGTTGTAGATACTATCACTGCCATAAACAGTACAGTAAGCTACATTAGATATGATAAGGGTGTTTTAACTCTAGCCAGTAAGAGTGCCGGGAATTCCTCGTTTGTTTCTATACTTTTTCATGACCCACTAATTGAAATTTTGACTCATTACATAATTAAAGTCAGGTGTTTGCAATGTTGACTTGGAAAGGTGTTACTGGTTCTTAATCTCTGGTGTTTTTTTAAGTCATTGTATTTTGAAAATCATTTGGATATCTTTTCCTTCTGGGTAGTTCTTTGTAGAAAAAATAATTGAGTTTAATATCTTTTTCTAAAATATATTCAATTTAAACACCTCAACTTTATCTCCTATTCAGATCTCAGGAAAAATGAAGATAAGTTGAACCATCATCAACGAATTGGGCTGAAGTAAGAGAGCCAGTTTTGATACTTGTAAAAGTTTTCATAGACATTTGTTTTGTTTTGTTTTTTACTTCTTTTTTTTTTTTTGGTTTTTCGAGATAGGGTTTCTCTGTGTAGCCCTGGCTGTCCTGGAACTCACTCTGTAGACCAGGCTAGCCTCGAACTCGAACTCAGAAATCCACCTGTCTCTGCCTCCCAAGTGCTGGGATTAAAGGTGTGCGCCACCACTGCCCAGCCTTTACCTCTTGAGATTATAATATTACTCCCTTCCCTTTCCTTCCTCCAGATCTTGACATACATCCCTCTCCTTACTCTCTTTCAAATACATGGCCTTTTACATATGCATGCATAGATGTCCTTTGATAACCTTGAGACTTAGCTAAATACAACCTTCTTTTTAAATTCAGAAATGCTAAGCTTTGTGCAGTTTTGTAAACTATGCCTGTGCTCATATGTTCTGTTGCATTGTAGCTGCTTGCTTATATTGTTTTCATTTTCACTGAGAATTCCTTTCATTCTCTTGACTTTTATTGGAGAACTTCCTTTTAAAATATTGAGAAGTGAGAACTGAGTATATCACATAGAGTTTAGGTGTGGTTCTTTGGGGGAGTGGCTGTTGTTTGAGAGATTGTTTCACCTTGAACTCCTCATGTAGCCCAGGCTGGTCTCAGTCTTGTGATTCTCTTGCCTGGCCCTCCAAGATCTCAGATTACAGGCTTGAGGTGTAGACCCAGCTCAAGTAGCTCTGGAGGAACTTACCCCTGACCTGTGAACATGAGGCATGTAAAGTTTGCATGAATATAAGAAAGAGCTCAGATATGTAAATGAAGGTATAGTATACCAGTCTCGACAACGGCTTTGTGTAGCATGTGTTACAGTGTTAGTGTACTAGCACTCTATCTCTGGAGTTATATAATCTTGGTGATTTGGTCCAAATTACATTTTTTTTCCTATTGGTGCCTTATGATTTCTTTCATTTCTGTAATTCTTGGAGAATCTGAGTGTTAGGGGAATTTATAAGGTCTTCTGAAGAGCCTGTGCACTCAAGACTGTTCAGGATCCATGCAGTAGCTTAGGCATATGTGTAGACATTATTTCATGCTGCAGTACTCTCCTGTTGGGCTTCCTGAGATATAGTTTATACATTATGCAGTTAACCTGTGTAAAATACACAATTGAACAACTTTTAATGTATTTACAGGGTTGTGCAGCCATGATTACAGTCAGTTTTAGGGCATTTGTCCTACCCTAAGGGATCCTGGGATTCTCTTCCTCACCTAACCCTCACACACTTCTCCCTAAGCTTAGGAACCAGTAATCTTTCTACTGCTACAACTTTCCCTGGTCTGGATGCTCACACCTTCACGACTGGCTTATTGACTCAGTGTCTTGTTATTCTTAGGTTCATCCATATTGTAGGATAATATTTAAGTACAAAAATTTTGAAAACTTTTGGTATAATTTTCTACATGTATACATTGTATAATGTTTTAAATTAGGGTAACATACCCATATCCTCAACATTTATCATTGTCATGTTGTAAACATGCAAAATTCCTTCTAGATTTTTGTGCTAAATGTTATTTAGAAAGGAAATAAAATAAAGCCATATATAGATTCATTAGCATCCAGCTCCCGTTAAGACAGTAACACATCAGAACTGTCTTCCTCTTTTTGCAGATTTTACTTGCTTTGAACTATAAACCTTTAACTTTATCAGTAGAGGGCAGTCTCCTATGAACACATGCAGCAATACTGTCTATTTTACTGTAGTCTGGGTTGTTTAGTTGTTTGTTTAGACTAGGGCTCATGTATCCAGGGCTGATCTTGAACTGGCCATGTAGCCAGAGAAGGATGAACACCTAAGTGCTGTAATTACAGGCAAATGCCACCATGTCTGGTTTATCCAGGGCTTTGTGCATGCTAGACAAAAGGTCTCCCAGCTAAGCTGCACTCTGATCCCCATTTCTTTATTCTTATGTGAATATAAAGCTTATGTAGAAATGAATTTAAAGTCTGAAATTTTACAAAAGATGTAGTTTGGATTAAACAACGGGTGCCTTCTCCACCACCTTCCCTTGCTTTCTTGTCTTCTAACTGAGTTCTAGTCTTGATTTTTGACAAATGATCCTCTTCTATGCTTGATATGGTAGACAGTTTTTAAACATTAAAATTATACCGAAATCTCTTTCTACTTGTTATGTCTTTCTAGATATTTCGAGGACTTTGAAAAGAGAATTCCTCGTGAAGAGATGCTACAGATGCAGGTTAGAATACACATGGTACTCCCTGTAGCCTGAGGAAGCCAGCTGGTGTTACAGTACTGACTTCAGTTCTTTCCTATTAGGATATTGTACTTAATGAAGTTAAAAAAGTGGATCCTGAGTACATTGCTACAGTCTGTGGCAGCTTCAGAAGAGGTAACATACTTCATACTCTCGAGTTATTCATGGCTTAATGTTAAAGTTACCCAGTGTGTGTGACAGGCTTGGATTAAAAGATGTGATTAGAGTCACGTCATAGGCTTCCCAAGAGCCCTAATATTAGTTAAGTCTACTTGTTCATGCTTGTCCCCTAACTACTGTTTATCCCCGACTCTGTTGTCTCTGTCATTATACCTGCGTGACTGGACAGCAAATGGAAGTCTTCTATCTCATTTTAGATATGAGTTACAGTGTGGTAGAAAGTTACCCTGTTGGAAGTAGGGCCCTTGTGTGTGTGTCTTTGATTTCATTCTAAGTTGGTCTAATTAGTAAGTTTACATAGAGAATTCAGTAATGTTCTTTTTTACCACAGGCGCAGAGTCCAGTGGAGACATGGATGTTCTGCTGACCCACCCCAGCTTCACGTCAGAATCAAGCAAACAGGTACCTCAGAATAACCAAATGTGGTCAGTCCTGCTCAGGAGGTGTATCACTGTGTAGCTATATTTTCACCATGTGGATTTTGTTTATGGTGCTGGGGATTGAACTTGGGGCCTCATGCAGGGACTCTACCACTAAGCTATAACCCTATCCCTGAGGTTTCAGTCTTTATATATAGACACACACACACACACACACACACACACAGAGGATTGTGAAATCTGCTGCTGCTCCTCACACCGGGTAAAGTGAGAAAGGAGAAGCGCTAAGGTGAAAGAGGTCCATCCTCAGTGACAGGTAGGCTTACGGGAAGAGCCCACTCTTGGGACGTGAACATCTGTGTGTCCTCTTACTGTTTTCCATGATAAACCAGCAACTACAGATAAAAATATGCCACAAATAGTACCACATTTCTTTTACAGATACCTGTATGTGATAAAAACCACATATGTCTTACAAATAACTCTTAATTTGTAGCATGAGCATCCACAGGAAGGAAGAGGGTGGGAGCTCTCAGGGAAGACACACACTGACTATCAGAGAGGGCTCTGTGGTACTTCATGCCTCACAGCAGGGTTAGGGGTTGTTACGGTTGACATATGTGCAAATATTTCACAGTAACTGGTTTCCAGCAGCAGCTTTAGTTTTGATTTTTTTTTTTTTAAGGAATCCATACTAATTCGGAGTTTATCTTAAACAGAGCCAAAGACTGTGGTTAGAAAGGACGTCAGGTAAAATGTCAAGTGGGGCGTCCCTATGCCTTCGCTCCAAGGTCTTGTCCCATTAGAATAGAAGATCAGGAACCCATAGTGTTTTCATACGTCTCTCCTGTCCCCACGGTCTCTACCATACCTGGTTCCTTACTATAATTGCCCACTCTTGTAGCGTAGCATCTACATCTGTGTGATGTCACATGAGCCAGGACACAGACACCTGGCAGACTTCTTCCCACAGCAGTAGATATACTGGTGTCCCCTCACTGCCATCCTGCTGGTCCCCTGGACTGTCTGTGTCCTGTGAAAGGCAAAAGGAGTTAAACAGAGAAGGATTCAGGTTTTTGAGCATATCCTAATATCTAAAGAGATGAAATGGAAGAAGATGTTTTCAGAATTATTTGTTATCAATTTCAGAAATACTTAGCATAAAATACATATTTTCATTAAGAGAGTTTTTATCTTACAGAAGGGCTAGAGATATGGGTCATCAAGTAAAGCTGCCTGCCACCAACCCTGACTTGGGTTCAGTCCCTGGAAGAGAGCTAATTCTCTCAAGATGTTTCTCTGCCTCTGCATGTGTACTAAATAAATAAAACAAATAACTACTGTAAAAAGAACTAATTCTTTGCTTTGATGAAGCCAAGTGATGTTTGTTATCACTGAAAGCATAAGTAGGTTTTTAAAAAGATTTATTTATTAGATGTACAACATTCTGCCTGCTTGCAGGCCAGAAGAGGGTACAAGATCTCATTATAGATGTTTATGAGCTACCTTGTGGTTGCTGGGAATTATACTCAGGTCCTCTGGAAGAGCAGCCATCTCTCCAGCCCCGCATAAGTGGTTTCTAAGAAAAAGAAATCATTTCATTTGATGGTCAGACATGGTGGCGTGGACTTGTAATCTCATCACTTGGGAGGCAAGAGGTTTAGCATAGCTCTATGTTAGCCCACTCTACAGAGTGAATCTGAGGCCTGACAGGGCTCTGAAGCAAGCGAGCAAAACAAAAAGAGGGTAGGGTGGGCGGGGAGAAGAAAAGGAGAAGATGAAAGAAAAGAAAACAGTTCAGTTTGATGCATTTTCTACTAGAGGGGAAATATACTCAACACATGAAAGGGGAGGCTGGGGAAGATGGCTGAAGCCTGGCAGCCTGAGTTGAATGACTGAAACCCACTCTAAAAGCCAGATGTGGTGGCTGGCCTGAGTCAGTAATCCCAGCATTCCTATGGGAGGACGGAAAGTAGAGGCAGGACAAGCAGTGGAAGATGGCAGGCCAGTCTTCCTGGAGAATCCCGAGTAGAGCTGAGAGACCCCAACATGAGAGACAACCAGCTCTGAAGCTCTGTCCCTGCCTGTAAACCATAGCGTGCACGGGTCGGCATGCACACGCGTAAATTAAGTGAATAAGTAGTTTTGGAGATGTATGTCTTTAATGATGCACATGTGTCTGTGTAGGTGTGTGTGTGAGCACAGGTGCCCTCAGAGACCAGAGGGGTTGGACCCCTTAGAAATGCAGTTACAGGCAGTTGTGAGCCACTTAGTGTGAATGCTAGAAATTGAACTGGGGTCGTCTCAAGAACAGTAAGTGTTCTTAACCACTGAACCATCCTGCCAATTTTAAGTAACTTCTATTTTTTTTTTTTAAAGAAAAAACAGCATAGGACTGGGGACATAACTCAGGTAGACTGTTTGAATGTGTAGCATTCACAGGCCCTAGGGTGGGTTCCTAGCACTGCATAGAACAGGGCATGATGGTGCAGCAGCAGGTTATCCTGGTCTACACAGTCCTCACACAGCCTGGAAGGAAGGAAGAAAAGAAACAGGGTTAGGGGACATAGCTCACTGGCAGAGACTAAGGCCCTGGGTTCACTTTCCAACACCAGAAACCGTTTTTTCTTGTTGTAACAGAATTCTTTTTCTATTTCCTAATTGTGATTATGCAGCCAAAGTTGTTACATCGTGTTGTGGAACAGTTACAAAAAGTCAATTTCATTACAGATACTCTGTCAAAGGGTGAAACAAAGTTCATGGTAAGTATTCCTTTGTTTTACCTCCTCAGTGACTTGTCGCTTTCTGTCACCATCAACAAATAGCTGCAGGGCAGAGCATGGTGGCACAGGCAAAGCTCCAGGACGGCCAGAGCTCCACAGGGAGACCCTGCCTCAGACAACAGTTACAGAAGAGATAGCAGAACTCTGAGAGCTTGGGGAAGGAATTATCAAGACTCCTAGCTCTCAGAGCTACTTTCAGAACATTTTAGTAAAGCATTTTCTTATAAACACTTTGTTAATAATTTGAATCATTAAAATAATTAGGCAGAATTTGCTCTTTAAAACTACTCATAATAACAAGCACACAGTAAATTCTTTCCTAAAATAGCAAATAGTTTCATATTCTCTGACTCAGAAGATTTTTAGTGAGTGAAATTTGAAATGCCTGATTAGTTCCAGGTGGAAAAAACCGTCTCAAAAGAAGGAGGGGTAGGGGAGGGAAGGCAAAAAAGGAAGGGAAGGGTAGGGAAGGAAAGGGAAGAGAGGGAAAAGGAAAAAAGAAAAGAGAGAAAAAAGAAAAGCATCACCAAGCCTGATTAGTAATCTGTTACAGCTACAGCGGTGAAGGGAGAAAGGGGATTTAGGTTCACAACAGGATGCACTGGGGAAAGCCTTGTGCAGGGAGCCTACAAAAGGGCACTTGTGGAGACTTTGTAAAATCCACTCTGCTGAACTGTCAGAGTTCTGTGGCCTTTGGACTAAGATGTTAACCCAGCACTCAGGTTGAAGCAGGAAGGTTGCCATGAGTTCAAGTATTGCCTGGGCTACATGGTGCATTCCAGGTCAAACCAGCCCAATATATTAAAAACAGATAGGTAAGTCTCTGAGTGAGAAAGCAGGAAAGCTAATGAAAGTCAAGTTCTCATGGTTTCCCTTGGCTTGGCATTCTTCTGTTACTTCATTTGGGTTTGGTTTTCTCCGTGCTGCACTCTTCCCATGTCACATGACTGAAAGGAAAGCTGATGTGCAAGGCAGTGATTGAGAAAGACAGAGCACATCGTTGTAAAGGAGAGCACCAGTGGTATCCAGAGCCCGAAGCAGGGAGCATCGCTTGGGCGCACCGTTGAGGTGGACACGGGTGGGTGACAGCTGCATAGCTATTTTATATCTAAGAACTCTCCAGGACCACAGAGGTCGTCTTTAACATTAGCACATTAGATAGTAAAATTAGCCTTGAGTAAGAGAGCAGAGAAGTAGAAACCAATCTTTGATGACAAATAGCCTGTGAGTCCGGCACCCAGGGCTGCAGCCGAGCACCTCCTGGTAATTCCAGCTGGGAACCACCGTGGCTGGACCACCTGAAGGGGAATTTGAGGCAGAACTTGGTGATGCCGGGAAGATATGTTTCATACCATGAAAACAAATCTGTTTCATTAAGCTGGAGGAATAGCTAAAGAAAATGCCCAGTTTAGATCAGACTTTTCTGTTTTGCTGAGTGAGACTAAGTAACTTTTAGTGACACATTAGCTTAGAATATGACAGTAGGCACTTACAGTGAGAAACATTGTGAGGTTTGAGGCTGGAGAGATGGCTCAGCACTTGAAAGTGTGTACTACTCATCCAGAAGACCTGAGATCAATCCTTCCCACCGACAGCAGGTGGCTCACAACTTCCCCATACTGCCAGCTTCAGGAGGCCCAACACCTCTGGCCTCTGTGGGCATCTCCTCTTCTGTGTGTGCGCACACACATACACACACACACACAAGATTTTAAAATTTTGAAAGTTATATGGCAAATTGTGTAGCTTTTTACCTGTGTAGGATGAGTAATCATCCAATTCAGAACTGTTGCCTGTTTTTGGAAAGGGAAAAGCGATAAAACTTAACTCACCATGTGGAGGGTGTCCGAGGCTGCCTGTAACAGTAAGGGTGGGTTAACTCACTGTGCACACTAAACTCAATTTGTACACCCATACACATTACAGAGAAGGTAAGAAAGAACTACTTCACAATTTGCTTGATATAATAGGGTTTTTAATAATCAAATAAATCCCCATTTTCCTGGGTTCTGTTCTGCCCCACTGTCTCTGCATTACACACAATTAAAATAAAGTAAATGTTAATAAACACTAGAACTGTAGGGAGCCTCAGGCACATAGAAGACAACCCAGTCATCTCCTCTTTTAATTTCTTGTTTGCTTTGTTTTCTCTATTTCTAAGACTTCTTCAAACTCTCCTACTTTTATATCACACTCAATTCTTTCTTGAGTATTTCTCTTCTGTAATATTCTGCCTGCTTCATGAATCAAATTACCTTGTTTTCTGTGAATATTACTGGCAGCGTTCTCAATTTGTTTGCTTTGTGCATAATTATTATTTTATTTGGGTTGCTTCTTCCTGTTTGTTCTGGTCTCTGTGTCTCATGCTTGGTGCCTTCCTTGACTAATCTCTACTTTAGAAGCTGCAAAGGTGAAGTCCTAGGAACATGACCCTTGCTCGCCTGGCATGTGGCTATTTAGTTATCGGGACTACTCTGAGCAGATGGAGGCTGTACATCCTGACATGGCACACTGTATCTGAAGCATGTCTCTCTGCAGCATCAGAATTCATTGAATAATAATAAGTTTACAAACTACACAGTTACAGCTCCCCAGCTGGCTAGATCAAATGCTAACAAACCAGTTGGAGAGTTCCTGGAAACATTTAGGACTGAGTAGTTATGGAGTCAGGCTGAGCTACAGAAGCACCAGGACACTCAGGGCAAGGTCAGGACCAGGTCCGGAAGGGTGGGCAGGTGAACGTGTAGATAATCTCAGTATGTCATACATACGGTGAAAACACTGGGAATGTCCTGGCTGTACATTGTTTGACATGTGCCTAGTGGAGATGCCAACCCATCAGTGGGTCTGGACGCTACAATGTTGGGTGACCTTTTATAAGTGAAGGGTTCAGGTAGAAGATACTGATTTGTCTCAGGCCTACCCAGTTTTCCTGGCATAGTTTTAATAGTCCGTGTATCCCTGTGTTCCCAGTCTTCCTTGATGGGTTTACAGGTGGCACTTCTTCATGTTTAAGGATAAGTTACTAGTCTCTACCTCATGGCTGCTGCTGGATGGTCTCTCAGCACAGTGGAGTGCAGCTGAACTGCCTCTGCATTTGGACTCAGAATAGAGTCATCCAGGGCAGGCAGTCTGAAAGCCCCAGCTTCACACAGCTTAGAGCAGCTCAGTGACAGCACGGGACACAGCCTCATCTTCACATAGAGCCTAGACATAGTTCTATACTAAAAGTACACAGAATTCTAGGACTGCTGGAATAAGCTCGAAGTATCTTCACCTTGAACATTTGATGAACAGTAAACCTTAAGTTGAAGGTATCTAAACATTCTCTACAATATTCCTGTAGGGTGTTTGCCAGCTTCCCAGTGAGAATGAGGAAAAGGAATATCCACACAGGAGAATCGATATCAGGTATGATTCGGATTCTTGAGTCCATTTGCTCCTCTACTTAAGGTTACATAGATATGCAGAGTGGTTCCTGAGAGGTGGTTATTCCTGCTTCAGTGTGTAGCCTCAGCCTCACCAGTAATTTCTCCTGTCAGAGGGTGACCCCTACTGTTTGAGGTTCCCCCCATTCTGGAACCCCAGCTGACTCAAGAGGTGAGGGGAGGTTTGGGACAATGGTGAATGTAAAGCAGAAAGCTCAAGGCAAAGGCAATCTTCCTTTTACTTACCTTGTGGGTCCAAATTAGCAGGCAGTCACCCTAACATCTGATTTTTGTGGGTGACTAGAGTACGTAGACTTACCTCAGGTGTTTCGTCTTTACTGATTTTAGAAAACCTTTATTTGTCAAACTTGAAATATGTAATAAGGAAATATTTTTCCCTAAGGTTGATCCCTAAAGATCAGTACTACTGTGGTGTTCTCTACTTCACTGGGAGTGACATCTTTAATAAGAATATGAGAGCGCATGCCCTGGAAAAGGGCTTCACAATCAATGAGTACACCATCCGCCCCCTGGGGGTCACTGGTGAGTGTCTGTGACTCCCTTACACCATCCGCCCCCTGGGGGTCACTGGTCAGTGTCTGTGACTGCCTTACACCATCCGCCCCCTGGGGGTCACTGGTCAGTGTCTGTGACTGCCTTATACCATCCACCCCCTGGGGGTCACTGGTCAGTGTCTGTGACTGCCTTATACCATCCACCCCCTGGGGGTCACTGGTGAGTGTCTGTGACTGCCTGTGCAGCCATCCTTTCATCTGGAGAGAAAGTTGTTTGCAAGGATGTTTTAGCTGAAATTGTCAGCATGTGCTACAGTGCCTGTAATCCCAGCACTAAGGAGGTGTGGAAGTAGGATTAGCCTTGGCTACTCAGCAAGTTTGAGGGCAACCTAGGCTACATGAGCTTCCTCTCAAAAACAAGGTATTTTAAGAGAACAAATTCTAAGGTGACTTTTAGTAATCCTGCTGTGGCGGTTTGATATGTTTGGCCCAGGGAGTGGGACTTTTAGGAGGTGTGGCCCTGTTGGAGGAAGAGTGTCACTGTGGGCATGGGCTTTGCCAGTCTTCCCCAGTTTGCCTTTGTAACAAGATGTAGAACTCTCAGCTCCTCTGGCACCATGCGTGCCTGGACAGGGCCATGCTCCCACCATTATGATACTGGACTGAACCTCTGAACCTGCAAGCTAGCCCCCAATTAAATGTTGTTCTTATGAGAGTTGCCTTGGTCATGGTGTCTGTTCACAGCAATGGAAACCTAACTAAAACACCTGCCATTTAATTGTAGCTTCTTTATGTTTTTAAACATAGGAAACAAAAAATCCTTTTAAGGCCTCAACTGATGGCCTTAAGGCAAACGTTATTTCTAGTCCGTTAGAACTGGTTACATGGCTAGAGCTGCAGCTGAGTTGCTGCAGTACACCCTGGCTTTGATCCCCAGCCAAGTGTGTGTGCGCGCGCGCGCACGCTCGTGCGTGTGTGTGTGTGGGGGGGGGGGGGTGTTAAGTCCTTCAAACCTACTTATAATACTCATTAAAAAATCTTACTGATCTAAAGGGTTTTGTTTTGATGTATCTCTGAGACTCATGAAGAAGAACTTGGGTGTCATATCTTGGGTATCTTTTAGTATCACTCAAGCCTGGTGCCTGAGACTGCAGCTCAGTAATAAAGCATGCTCTTGGGACGCAGTAAGGCCCTGGGTGCCATCGCCACCACTCCCACTCTCATAGGAGAAAATAAAACAAAATTTAAAAAATTACAGAGTAATTCCTGAGTAATTATTTTCATGCCGTGCTGTAAGATTAAAGAGTAGATGAGGCTGCTCAGTAGGTGAGGACTTTCCTAAAAGCCTGGCCCTGGCCCTGGGACTCACAGTGGAAGAGAACAGGTTTCTGCAGTCCTCTGTCTTCCACATGTGACCTCTGTTACATACGCATGCCCACGTATATACATGCCCATGTTCACACCCCACATGCGAAACTAATAAATGAATATAATAAATGTTTTTTAAAATCAGAATTTAAAATTTTTGTTTGACATTTCACAGTCTACTATGTAGTTTACTAGTAGTATCTATTGGAAGAATAAAGCTTTATCATCCTAAAAGTTACACAGACAGGACTTAGATCCCATGCAGATTGGAGCACTGTTTTCCAAATTTCAAACATTCACACCGTTTACTGGGTCCTTATTAAACATGTGGGTTCTAATTTCATAGGTACTCAAGCATCTGTATTTCATTCATTGATTTAATTTTGGAGACAGGGCATTGCTCTGTAGCCCAGGGTGGCTTAGCCATGTACACACCTGACACAAGAGTCCATAATATTGGTAAACTTCTAAGTCATGCCACTACTGCTGGCTTAAGAACAACCACAGTCTGAGTTGCAGAAACACTATTTTATGAGATCCAGCAGAAAGGGCCATGAACTAGGGTGACTCCTGGCCGTGGTTGGGACTCCCAGGTTCTGTCTATCACACTGGTCATAAGGCAAGAGATTCATGCAGACTGGTGTCAGCAAGCAAGCCAAGTAGGAAAGAACTCCTTCCAGGTGGCTTACTCACTTCTCTCCACCCTACCCCTCCCCGAGCTGGAAATGGAACCTGGGCCCTGCATTCTGAGTCAGCCTGCACTTCTGATGGAGTCCCTCGGGCCAGGGTAGCTCTCAGTCTGTGATATTTAAAGAGTTCCCAGACTAGTTCTTAAACTGCTTTTGTTTTCTCTACTTGCAGGAGTTGCTGGGGAGCCCCTTCCTGTGGACAGTGAGCGGGACATTTTTGATTACATCCAGTGGCGCTACCGGGAGCCCAAGGACAGAAGTGAATGATGCCCTCTCTCCACCCCAGCCACATCCCACTAGGAGTCCTAATTTATTTCTTAACCTTTGCTATGTAAGGGTTTTTGGTGTTTTTAAGTAATTGCATCTTCTCTGTGCCTACCATGTAATGGTCAATAAACCTCTTGAGCTATTATTATTGAATATTGTCTTATTGTGTATAAATTTAGTTATGTCTGTGATCACAGTACCATGGGTTTACTAGAGAAACGTAAGAGCTGACGTGATAGACAGAGTTTAATGACTTTTACTTCCGCCTCACACTGCAGCACAGTCTTCCCAGCTTGTCCCTGTTTACCTTACAGGTTAGCTGGCTCTTCCAGAGCTACCTTTGGAAGTCGCTTCAGTATCTTTAGAAACCAGAGCCTGCCAGGCATGGTGGTGCACATCCGTAATCCCAGGACTTGGGAGGCAGAGACAGGCAGATCTCTGTGAGTTCAAGGCCAGCCTGGTCCACATACTGAATTCTAGGATGCCTAAGCTACACAGTGAGACCCTGTCTAAAAAGAAAAGGGGCTGGGGATGAGAAGAAGAAACAAGGGGCCTTCATAACTGTGGCGTCTTTGACCATGTCCCGTGCGCAGTATATAACTAGATACAGGTGTGGTAACTAGATACCTATGATAACCAGAACAGGTGTGGGCTTTGTCTCAGGTGGGAGCCCTTCACCTGCCACGACTCACAGGTCGATGGCGTCTCGATAGCATTCATTACTTTGTCTGGTAGGCAGTCCACTGTGTATCAAAGAGCACGTTGTACACAAACATACAATTTCAATTTTTTTATTTTTATTTTTTTGAGACAGAGTTTCTCTGTGTAGCCCTGGCTGTCCTGGAACTCACTCTGTAGACCAGGCTGGCCTGGAACTCAGAAATCCGCCTGCCTCTGCCTCCCAACTCCCAAGTGCTGGGATTAAAGGCGTGTGCCACCACCGCCCGGCTAATTTCAGTTTTTTAAAGACTTAGTTGAAAAGATTAAGTCACTGTGTCCGGATTGTTTTATTGAAGAGTCATGTCAGTATTGTATAGACATAAAGCCAAAAGTAACTCATCACAGGATAGCATCTCAGTACCTGGTAGCTGTCCGTTTCAGTTGCTAGAAGAGTCGGCTTCATTTATGTGCTGGGTATAACATGCTCGCCTGTAATCCCAAGACTCACTTGAGGTAAGAGGATCATGAGTTTGAGGCCAGTCTGGGCTACATAACTTACTTTGAGACCCTGTCTCAGAACCCTTCCCCTCCCAAAAAAAGCATCCAGGAGGTAGAGACAGGTGAATCTCTATGAGTGCAAGGCCAGCCAGGGCTACACAGTGAGACTCCTGTCCCAGAAAACAAAATAAAAAATATAATAAAATTAGTGCCAGGGATTCTGTGTGAACACAACAACGAGTCCTGTGTTTTTACAACTTATATTCTTTGGCATACTCTTAGCCTTGAATGTTGTCGGTTACTGGTCACCTGACTTCGACAGGACAATCCAGGCCCACAATCACAGCGCTGGAAGATTTCTGGGGCTTGGGCAGTGTCTTTGTGCCCCCTCCTGGAGCAGACTTGTCCCTCTCGTAGAACTGGCTTGCAAATTTTTGTCCAAAAATGTCGAGCACAGCAAAGTCCAGGGCCACAGTCGGAGGTTCTAAGACAGCTTTCTCCCTCCTGTCCTGTAACAAGTTAGGCACAGGCTTTAGAGGCAGCAGATAGGTTAAGGGTGTGTGTGTGTGTGTGTGTGTGTGTGTGTGTGTGTGTGTGTGTGTTATACTAATGAGTTGAGGTTGGGAATCTAGGAGTAAAGGTGTCTACCTATAGAGCCTATATATAAAATAGCAAAGCCAATAGGACACATAGGTCTCACACAGTAAGGGAAATTATAGCCCTACCCAACAAAGACATCAAGAAAAGAAATGATTTCCTGTCCTAAGAAATACATAGCACTCCACAAAGTTTGCTAATATATTTTTTAGTGAACATCAAATCCTTTGCTTACAAAGGGACCAGCTAGTCCAATGACGTAAGCAAGGATGGCCTTTGTACTGCTTCACTTTCAGATATTCTGTTATTCAAAGACTTTGAGACTCCTATTTTGTTTTTTTATTTGTTTTGGTTTTTTTTTCTTAAAAAAAATTGTAAATCCCCAAGCATGGTGGCAAACACCTTTGATCCCAGCAGAGGCTGTCAAATCTGAGTTCCAGGACAACCTGGTCTACATAGTGAGTTCCACGACAGCCAGAGTTACAGAGACCCATTTTGTATTTTATACAAGTTTGGAATGAATGCCACTACTTTAATTGGCTTTAGAAAAGGAAAGTGGTATTTGTTACACCCCAGTGTAGGGAAAGCCCTGAGTTGGAAGGTTTTCTTACTAAGCTGCCATCACTAGGGTCTTGCCCTGTCCTGGCCAGTGGAGTCCCTTGAGTTTCTCCAAGAGCTCACAGACAGGGGATGAGGGAGGGATAAAATTGGTTTTTAAAATAAAATATGGTCTCAGAATGACGTTCTTACCCTGATTGCTTTGTGATTTCTTCGTACTGGGCTTCCCCTGGGGTCTGTTTTCCTCTGCTGGCCATTTGGTGGTTCCTTCTTGGCCATCCGTGTTTCTGTCCACCCCTGGCCTTGTGTCTTCCACTGCAGTGCAAACATCTGAGGGACAACCGGTAGCGTTAGTGACTCTGAGGGACAAGTTCAGGTGTGCCATGACTCTAGCCTCAAGAATTTGGCAGCACTTCTACGTTTCATTTTATAGTATATTTCAGAAGCATACGCTGAGTATTTATATGCTCACATATAACAAAATAACTGATCAATAAAATCTCAGTCAATGTGGAAAGATCCGAACCAGTCTACCTTGAATCTGTCCTTTAAAAATCATTCTATCCATGTCACTGGTCAAAGATGTTGCCAGGTAGGAAATGATTTTGCTTCACCAAAAAAAAAAAAAAAAAAAAAAAAAAAAGAGCTACACAAAGTTGTTTCATCCGGATCTAAGAACATCCTTGCCTGCCTCCCATGGTCGGGCCTACTCTACATGACTCTAACAATGCCAACAGATTGCAGGCCCTGTGGCTTGGAGCCCAAGATCGCTCACCATTCACACAGACTGTCCCTGGGCAGCACATAGCGCTCCTCTGGCACCTCCTGCGAACTCTGCGGCACGTGGCACAGACCGACCGTTCATCATGAAGCGCGAAGCAGAATTTTCCTATGTTGCAATCTCTGTCTGAGGCACACTGTGAGCCCTGTGGAAAGAAATTCGTCACAGGCTGGGAAATTCATGAGACCTAAGAGGCCTTTATCCACGGCATGGGTTGGGAGGTCAAACTCTAATGGCAGAGGGATGCTGCGGCCAACTTTGGGCCATCTTAATTTTTCAGCATAATTCGTTTTCTCCTGAAGAGAGTACGTAAAGCTACTTGTGAGAAGATCTTGGCTATTCTGGAGTTTGTGTTTGGAAATTTGTCTTTGATCAGTTATGAACCATGCTCCAACCCCAATTTTACTTTAAAACTCAAAATTTAATATTCCTACACTCTCCTTACAAACTCAAAGTTTTTTATGTGTCTTACAGATGAACAATTATAAGTTCCACTGTCACTCTGTCCCCAACTGTCCTTTATTATGGATACAGTGTATGCACTGCAGAGAATAGTGTACTGTAATGTATAGTATCCATAGATGATAATGACCCCTCAAACAATCCTGTGAAGTAGACGGTTACAGCGATGGGCCGTGTCCTAATGTGTTCAAGCCCTAACTCCTACACACTTGCTGTGTAGTCGTGGTCCAAATTCCTGTCCTCATCGCTAGATAGAACTCTGTGCCTGTCTCAACTTGTAAGGAAGACAGCTGGGCACGTGGTACCGCTTTCATTAAGTACTAATTTGTAGATAAATGCAGGGCCCTGACCAGAAAGCCATTTGACCCCCTTTAGTTTTGTATGCCTTTTTGAAAGATTTTTATCTGCAATCAGGTTGGCTTCTGACTCACTGTCAGCTCCTTAACTCTGCATTCCCTGCCTCCTGAGGGATGGGATTATAGTATGTGCTTCTTTCATAGTAACTGATAAGAGACCTGGATTTTATGTGCACGTGCAGTCATACATAAATTCTCTTCAAGGCAGGCTGTCCTGTCTGATGCAGCGCTATCTTTGCGCTCAGTGTTCCTGTGATCTAGCCACACTTACCTTCCCAGTGCCTTGCACATCCAAGGAGCTCTTGATGTTGTTAAAATCCAGAACCAGAGCTCCCAGAGGTGAACAGAACCAGCTGAGTCCAAGCAAGGCCACCAGTACCATCCTTCAGTCACTCTGGTCTCTCGGGAGCTCCAGTACCCCTTGAGTCTTCGAAGGCTGGGCTGCTGAGTGGGTCTAGGTACAATCTGCAAGTTGCCCACAGAGGCCTTTTCTGAAAGAGAGAATCTGCCCAAGGAAGGTGTGTTAAATGAGACAGGCCAGATCTGACCAGCATGCTTTTCTGAAACTATTTATAACCAGATGTGGCCCCTCTTCTCCCTTCCAACCCACTGTTTCCTTCCTCTTTACCCCACACAGGCTACAACAGATCCCCTCAAATCTTTGATCAATAGTTCAAAACAAGGACTCAGTGGAAGAGACCAGAGGCAGGGCCACAGCGGCTGTTCCTCCAGGCGGGAAGCCCTCTTAATTACTGCATATCAAAGTCAGTTCAAAGGGCTCCCAGCAAAGAAGGATGTTGGTATCAAAGGCAGCTCTGATAATCACCTGCATTTCCGACCCTCAATCCTTTGGGAGGAGGGGCAGATGAAGATGTGTCTTCACAGCTAATTGTACTCAAAGAAAGAACTCACATTAGCCAATATGCTGTAGATGTTTAAAAAAAAAAAAACTATTGAATCACTGAATCTACCCTGAAGTTTAAAGTGAAGAAGGGTTACTTCTGTTCTGACATCTGGACTCTAAAGTTAGGGCTAGAGCTAGGGTTAGGGTTAGGGTTAGGGTTAGGGTTAGGGTTAGGGTCCTGATGGCTTCCAAATTGTGAAATGTCATCACCTGTTCTATTCAGATAAATGACATTGGGAAATCACTCTTCTTACAATGAAAATTGAACTCTTTGAAGTCAGTTATTTTATTTAAAAAATAGTGGGGCACATAACCATCTGATTGTATTTTTAAGTGTCTTAGTTTATTTTTAAATTAATACAGAAAAGCATAAATTATATATACCTGCAGTTCCAGTGCTTGGCCAGTGGAGGCAGAGGGATTAGGAGTTCAAGGTCAGTCCTGGCCACATAGTGAGTTTGACCCTGTCACAAACAATCATTTTTTAAGATTTACCTGTGCACATGGTGTGTGTGTTTGTGTGTGTGTGTGTGTGTGTGTGTGTGTGTATCTGTCTGTCTGTCTGTCTGTGTGGTTTTGCTCATGTGACTACGGTGCCCACGGAGGCCAGAAGATGGTGTCAGAGTCCCTGGAGTTGGAGTTACAGGTGGAAACTGCCTGAATTTGTTGCTCTGCATTACTTTAGCTTAACTAACCCAACCCAACCCAACCCAACCGAACCCCAAATTCAATATAGAGCCTGGAGGGACGGCTGAACTGTTTAAAATGTCTGCTTCCGTCCTTTTTCATATATACATGTATATATGTGTACATGTATATACTAATATATATATACTTATATATAATGTTATATATAATGTGATTATATTGTTTTATATAATGTTATATATTATATATATGGATATATGTGTGTGTACACACATACGTATACACATATATAAATATATAATGTTTTAAATGGAGTTTTACTGTGTCACCCAGGCTGCCCCTCAAGCTCCTGCCTGGCTCAAGCGTCTTCCTGCCTCTGCCTCTGAGTATCACCCACCACCAAAGCGCTAACTCGGCCGTTACAGAAGTTTTGAATACTTTAAGGAGAAAACAAACCGGGTGCAGAAGGGAAGAGCCTTTTAGTCCCCACTGCTGTCATCTTTTCAGCCTGGCCTCAGCCTAGGCCTGTTCAAAATCTAACTAGACAGGGGGCTGGGGAGTTGCCATTAAGAGCACTTGCAGCTCTTGTAGAGGACCTGGATTTAATTCCCATCACCTACATGGAATCTCACAACTGTCTGTAACTCCACTACCAGGAAATCAGATGCTCTCTTCTGATCACATCAGGTCCCAGGCAGGCACACACACACATGATGCACACATACCGATGCAGGCAAAACACTCATACACATAAAATAATAAAATCTTTAACAAGAACACTTCCTGTCTTGTGGCTTTGCGAGTCTTCCTGCAGGAGCCCAATGCAGCCAGGGACCTATGTGACACACTGAGGTGCTGAGGACATTCTCAGTTGGGAGTTCCCAGGCAGGGCTCTGCTCTCAACTGCTCCAGAGCAGGGGCCTCTCTGTACAGCCCCCTTGCTGACAGTGATGTTCCAGGGACTGGGACTTCCTCCTTCCTAGTTTACACTAGCGTCATGTGCACTGCTTACATCAAAACCCAAGTAATTTCAACAAGCAAGAGGAGAAAGGGAGTAATAGAATCCATTTTAAAGGTCGAAAATCATGGCCTGGGGAAGAACCCAGTTGCCTTCTGTGTGGTGTCTCTACTTCCTGTTCCTACCTGCATTGCGCAGAATGTCAGGAGCCAAAGGCTTTAGGGTGGAAGGACCGTAGGAAAGGAGACCCTGTAGCATAAGCCAGCAAGTTCTTGTGACGGATCTTTAGAAATAAGTTGTAAAATTAAGGATCTGGAGTGCAGGGAGAGACCTAGGATGCTGTCCTCTTATGACAAGCACTGAAACGTCTAAATGGGGGCAGAACTTTAGAGCAGACATGGTGAAGGACTTCTAGAGAAAGACGTATGTGTCCCTGCCGGGCGGTGGTGGCACACGCCTTTAATCCCAGCACTTGGGAGGCAGAGGCAGGCAGATTTCTGAGTTCGAGAGTTCGAGGCTAGCCTGGTCTACAGAGTGAGTTCCAGGACAGCCAGGGCTACACAGAGAAACCCTGTCTCGAAAAAAACCAAAAAAAAAAAAAAAGTATGTGTCCCCTGGACAACTAATATTTGAGATGATTTTTTTGGGATGTAGGTTAAGAGGCACATGACAGTGCGGGGAGGGGAATGGGGCACATCAGGAGGCAGATGCAGGCGGATCTCTGTGAGTTTGAGGCCAGCCTGGTCTATAGAGTGAGCTTCAGGACAGCCAGGGCTACACAGAGAAACCCTGTCTCAAAACAAAACAAGCAAACAAAAATAGGCAGGTAGCAGTGATGGATGATGAATTCTGTATCTGGGGATGAATATTGCCATTTGGAAGCAGGATAAGAAAGTTAGGATAGGAATTTACTTTGATAGTCACCTCAGCTAGGTGTCTAATGTCAATCACTGTGTGAAATTAACCACCATGCTTTCTGTGAATAGCACTCTCCACTCTTCAGGACAGAGTGGATGCAGTCACACACACATACACACATACACACATACACACACATACACACACATACACACACGCACATCACAGAGAGAGAGAGAGAGAGAGAGAGAGAGAGAGAGAGAGAGAGAGAGAGAGAGAGAGAGAGAGAGAGAGAGGAACAGAAAT